TGTCACCTGAACAAACATCGTGTTTACTCGTTTCTGCTACGATCCATTATAAAAATTGACTCGACCGATAACACTGGATAACAACTGGAAAAGAATAATTCGCATAATAAAAAAAATTAAAAAGTTATATCATTTTCTTTCTATTCGGCGAAATGCGATTCCTTGTCGGATATTCCAAAAATTTCGAATCGTTGAACATTTCGAATTATTTAAAAGGAATTACCTTGATCCTTCGTATCTCAATGATGAACCTTATTTCAAACGCGACAACCAAGCACGAGGCTCGAACGAATCTATAAGAAAAAGACAGAAGACAGGAAAATAGCTAATAAACAAATCAGAATAAAATATCTATCCAATCCTAAATTCGATCGCATCTAAACCCTTGCCTCTAATTCCTAGATCCTTGGTGTCTAAAACCGGGCAAAGATTCTCGAGGGAAGTTTCTCCAGAAGAAGAAGAAGAAGAAGAAGAATTCCCAATGAATCCTTGGTAAAGAGTTAGGATAGGCAATCCTGTGTATCTCGGTCTTCGACGAGTAAAAGGAAAATAAGGAACACGGAGGAATCCTCGGAGGGACTCGGAATAAAATCGCGATTTCGATCTAACCGTTCCAAGATCACGGTGTAATCTCTCCTCCTCGTGAGACCACAGGTGGATACGTATCGCGGTCGCCTTTTTTTCTTCTTCTTTTTTTTTTTTTTTTTTTACGACGAAACGATGTCGTCGCCTTTCCATATTTTTCTTCCCTTCTTCTTCCCCTTTTTTTTTTTTTGATGACACCGCCTCTTAAAGTTTCACGCGAGACGCGCAGGGATACGAGCAATTTAAATTTAATGCCCTTTTTTACATCCACCCTGCGCCACGCGCGACCCCTCGTCGCATCCCTCTCTTTCACTCGACACACTCACTCGCTCCCTTCATCTCCATATTCGTACACCTCCCTCCTCGCACCGATGCGTCCTCCTCGCACGATCTTTATCTCCACAGATTGCCCGACTTCCAAGGGAGCAACCACGACCACTCTTTCGGGTCTAGTTTAGTTTAGAAAAGAGGAGACCCAACAGCGGTGGCCAAGAGAGATCGATCTAGATATCGCTGTGTCAACTCGCCCGAAATTTGTACTTTTTCCTTTTCCCTTTTTTTTCTCACCACACACGTGGATCACGGGAGTATAGAGAGGGATGGGTGAGATTTCAGAGATCGAGGCTGAGAGAGGCCTGAGGCCGATTCCGTGGATAATATTGTTTCGGTATATGTGCAGGGTCGTTGCATAATGAGAAGGCTTTTCTCCAAGCGAGGTTTTCTTACTTTTTTGTCTATCTAGATATTTTTTCTCGTCGCGAAGAAACGGCTAACAAGACTCTTTAGTTTTTCCATTTTGGAACGAATTACACATTTGTGTCGATTTAACTATTAGATTAGAGGAAACAAACGACGCTTATCGCGCGACTAATTTTAACTTCTTTTTCGAGGTTAGGCATTAACGTTATCTAAAAATGATTGGAAAGAAAAAAAAAAAATAAACAGAATCTCATTGCAAAAATTCCTACTTACTTATGTAACGTTCGTTTCGTGTTTTCACGAATGATCACGAATCGTCTGGTGAACGGAGGATAATCCGGGAGTCGGTTAAGTAGTCCAAGGATAGTTGGAGATTTCGAAGGAAACACACACGTATCAGGAAAATTGAGGAAGACAGGAAAGAAATGTTGGTGGAACAACGGCGAACAATTCGGTCCGACGTGACAAGTTTCGAGGAAGAAAAATTCAGCTCGAAACGAGATTGTTTATTCAAACGCGCGTCCCCTTGCTGCACGAGAGGAAAATTCTCCTTTTCTCGAAATTCACGTTTCCCTCGTACGCACGATTAATAAATAAAACGCAAGAAGGGAAGGTGGAGCACACGTATGTACGCGTGTTGTAGAGAAGAAAAACGATCGCGCGAGAACTGCCTCTATTTTCCCTGATTGCGAATAACTCTGTGCGAAACTGCCTGTTGACACGTGAAACGCGTCCAAGGAGTCGCGATAAGCCGTCCATTTTATTAAAACAACTTACACGAGCAATAGGGAGCGCTAATCAACCAGATAAAAAATTTTCCCAGAAAAAAAAAGGATGCTGCGCGAAATTAAAAATTTTCAACGCGCGCTGATCGATCGTTACGATGGCGCTAGGGAACATTAACAAAATATACACTGACCATTTTCGAAAAATTGGTACGGTGCAGAGATTGCGAGTGTTCCATTAAAATTCAAACCATTTCCTCGATAATCGAATTTCGCATTTTCGCAACGGTGAAAAATAGTTGCAGCGCATTTTGTAAAGATAAAAAAGAAAAAAAAGCACGAACCGTCGATGCGCGGGCCGATAAAATGGAAAGTGACGAAAAATCGTAGAACGAATTCGAGGCGTGAAAATTACGAGGTGTCGCGATTACCAGAGTCCACGCGTAATTTCAGTAATCGGTATCGTTTTTTTTTGAGTAAAAAGAAAAAAAAAAAGAAAGAAAGAAAATATTTACCAATACATCCTATGCTACGATGCAATTTACGACGAGAAATATAATTTAACCACTCGACGAGCCGTTTATTTCGATCAAATTTTTCTTCGTCGTACGCCGATTAATCTCTGGGGAAGAAAGTTTACATATATTTATATAGAGATTATCTTTTCCATTCAATAAATGACGCGCTATAAAAGCGCGTTGATTCTAAAGATTAGTTGGCTTAAAATTAATCGGAGAAGAAAAAAGAACGAGGCGAAAATAAGGAAGAAAAACTGACGACATGAAAAATAACAATTTTCTAGATTTTCTTACGTATATATATATCGTGAGATTGCTTCGAAACAGAACGAAATTCCGCGATGAATTATTCACGAAGATATCTCGACCACGAAAACACCGGTCAACTTTTTTTTTTTTTTCCCCCTCTATCTCTATTCCCTCTTCTCGTGAGACGTGAAATTAAAAAACCGGACCACGAGTAGAACGCGTGAAGAAGTTTGAAATTTTCGAGAATTCGAGCTTCTACTTGTAACTGTAGAAATACTCGAGGCGAGGAATATTGGAATCCGTACGGGGTTGCGCGAGAGACATCGGTGTCTCATGCATGCGTATTCCATTTGCATTCGTGAGTCTTATTAACGTACGTTCCAAACGCAACACCGTCGTGTCACGTTCCGTTATTAAATTTCCTTCGTTTTCTCCCTTTCGATCTTCCGAGAATTATTTAGAAAAATCTAACGTTGATTAATATTTATCAATATCTTCACGGAAGAAAGTGAGACAAAGTATTTCGAGAAAAGAGCTTTCGCTTATTTGCTCAATTTTCCAACGATTTGTTATTAAAGTAAAACAGGAAATCAGGAAGCTATATCTGAAAAATTGGAAGATATAATATAACTTTCTTCTCGTTTCGATAATATCGAGATAGCCACTTTTTCGAAATTTCACAATGGAATATAAAGGAATATTTTTAAGGGGAAATCTTCTTTTATCGTCGCCTTCTTTTCGACCGAATCACCAAATTTTTATCGTGTATGAAGGAGGAAAACAATGTGGGAAGTTCGACTGCGGGGCCCGTATTTAGAGAATCATGTTTCGAATTCGTTGGAAAGTTGATAAGAAAGACGAGGGAATGTTTCGTTTCTATCGTTGTGTCACGGCCCGTGAAGATAATACTCGGATACGTCAATGAGTTAGAAAGTGGTTAGTAACGAGTGCTCGTTAAAAATCACGGGAAGCGACGAGGAGGAAGTGCGCCGATGAAACGTCAAGCGTGTCGCACGCAGCTAATAGAAATTTCTGTCTACTGTAACAGCGTTTCCGATCGCTTTTCTATTATACCTACGAATCATTATGCCAGCCGAACATGTTTAAGTGATACACTTCTCGCATATGCAAAATCAGTTTGTAGTTTTTTTTTTTTTTTAAAAATCTATGGCGCTTTCTAACTGCTCTCGGATGCTAGTTTAGAAAGAAGATGATCGTGACGAAAGTGGAAAGTGGAAGATGGAAAGTTGAAAATAAATGTAACGTCCATCAACATCGATATTTTCACGTAGATTTTGATTTATATATTTCTGATATGAATCAAATTTCATAATCATCGCAAAATGGTTGAACTACGATTGTGACGAAAAATCTACGAATACGTAATGGTTCGATACATAATACTGAATGCGCGATTCAAGCCTCCAGAAATGTCGTTCGCTGACATATAAAAGCGATTGCACAAGAACCCTCTTCAACCGTGCAAAAATGAAGTCTAACGGGTTACCGCGAGAACCGATGTAAATTTAATGTTGATATCTTGGTAAGAAGTTAGGAAAGGAAAACCTGGATAAAATCCAAATAAAGTATACGAAAAGATCATTATAGCCATAAGTATACGAAAATTTTCATTTCGCGCAATATCACTGCCCGAATGAAACCTTGAACGAATCTTTGAATACATTTAAATTATCTATTTAAGGAAATTCGATAAGAAGAATGGAACTTTTTGATTATGAAAAATATACGTTTCATTAATTTTATTAATAACATTTATATATGTGTGCATCCATATAGTTCGAAGAAGAAAAAATAAAAAAGAGAACGAAGAATATTTTTATCTATAATTGTATAAAGAACCGTTAGGAAAAAAAAGGTCGATCCCTATCTGTTCATGTGATACAGTTGTAACGTGTTTAACTGTTATCAATGATTTAGATAGAACATATGTTGAATAAATGAATATATCGGTTCCATAAAATCGATGATTAGTTACGACATCAATCTAAAAATTTATGTACATTGAGCGATAATAAAATAAAGTCTTTTAGATTTTAACAAAAAATTATTGATTTTGAAACAAACATTTGATTAAAAATATATATATATAAAAGAAAAAAAATAAATTTATCGCGTATTTTTTTCATAAAACTTTTCAGAGAGTCACATTATCAAGCGAAAAGAAATCTTTGTACCTTCGAGTTCGAAATCCATTTCAACAGATGGTGTTCTCATCGTACAAATGACTAAGACACGTGAAATCTACCAGCGTGAACAATCAATGACTAAAACGATTTATTGACAACAGAAATTAAAAACCGAGTTCAAAGTGATTATATTATTGTATTTATCGGTATAATTACTTTTCTAACAATATCGAGGTGGCAACACGACCAAGGGAAAACCAAAATTTCACGATGTATCGAGAAAATTTTCTTTAAATTTTCTTTCGTTATTGATTATTATGAAGCTCCTGAATTGTGGAGTGAATAAAAATGTGCTCTTCTAATCAGTCGTTAATTAAAAGGTTATATAAAAACGAACGACGTCAAATGGCCTTAAATTTAACTTGACGATTATTGTTATAATTATTCTTGTCATCAGATGTTTATATAATAATAAATTATAAAATAATTACGCAATTTTCTTAGCGAGACGGAAGATTAATGTATATCGTTAAATAATTGACGTAATTCTTATATAGAAAGATTAGAGTAAATTTTTAAAAGAATCGGACAAAATGGGATCGGAACAGAGTTCTCAGGGTGGTACTCACAATACCAATGCTAATAGAACAAGAAATATACCATTGAGACGTGGTAAAAGTGTACCGAATCGTGAAAGAGTACCGGAAGACACACCACCTAGATGTACCAGTCCTGGTGCAAGCATTTGTTCAGATTCTGATTTACCGTATATATCTTACACTGTGAATAGACCCATTGGAGATTCACCAAAGATGACAAATAAGCAATCACAATTATATAGAGGCAAGAGTTTGGGTGCACAAGATATATCTAGACGTAAAAATAATTTAAATACCAGTAGCTACAGGTAATATTATTATGATTATTTATGATTAATTATGATTTTATTTAATATATTTTATTTGAATAATAATTTTTACAGAAAAACTACCTCTGATAAAATACACAATATAGTAGTAGTGAAATCAGCTGCAGCAGATCCTACAGCTGACAAAGATCCTGACTTGGTTAAATTACAAAGTATTCCCATGTTCCTACCTATTATGCGTGGCACTCTCAATTTGCCCCCAGGTGTAAGAGATCCAGAGGTCCTAGAAAGACTTAATCCTATTGGTCTGTTTAATCTGTGTGCACGTTATCAACATCATCTGAACACTAATGCTCAAATGATTGCCACTGAACAAGCTAGTCTATGCATTAATATTGAGCCAGAAGTGACCAAAATTCTTAATTTGGCAACAGAAAGGCAAAAGAAATTTGCCAAGTTTGCTGAACAATTGAACAAAGTACACGAGCTTAGTAAACAATTAACTAAATGCCATTCCCTTTTAAATCAAACTCTAGAAAGCCTTGAAACTTTGAACAATCTTTTACCAATTGAAGATAGATTAGAACCATTTGTATGGACTACTGGATAAAATTCATATTAAAAAGTACATTGAATGTAGTTTTGGAAAATCACATATTGCACTGGTGCTAAGAGATAATCTGAATTAATTCGATACAAAATCTCTTAAAGATTTGTTTTGTTTCTTTTATCAAACATGATGAAGTTATTTACTAATAATTTACTAATAACCCCTATTTGAAAAAATTTTTAGTACCTATACATGTGTTGCACAGAAATCTTGTCTATAAAAATATATATATATATATATATATACTCTATATATATGTCTATTTTCATGTTAATCTTAATAATTGTATAATTGTATAAAAAAATAATGTGATGCTTCAAAAATACATACAGTTTACTATGATAAAAAAATTGTACATTTTATTAAAATAAAAGTAAATTTCACAATTACAATAAAACAATTCATAGCAATCTTGTAAAAAGCAACAATATAAAAAAAAATTCTACATAAAATTTTATAATCATTTACATACCCTAGTTAATACCAGCAGATTTTTGTGCTTTCAATCTTCTATATGCTGCTATAACATCATTCTGTTGTTTTTCTAATTGTCTCCTTTCTCCAAGTGGTAATTTTCTACGTTTTCCTGATCTATCTATAGTTATTCTCTTCTTAGCATCCATCTTTGAATTTTCATTTTTCTTGAGCATCGAATAAAGAAGAAGATTCTTTCTGCCAGGCTGTAGCAAAAAATTCAAAAATTTTTCATCAATATTTAAATGAATTAAAAAATAAAAAAAAAAACAACATACTTTAGAGACATTTATAGCATTAGCATTTTTTGGTTTGATTTTTAATTGAGGTGGTTCATGAACCACTTCTCCAAATTCAACTTGATCTTTAAAATTATCAAATTCATCTAATTTTTCTTCCATTTGTTTCTCTTTCTTCAATTTCAATTTCTCCTTTTTCTTTTCAGTTTTAGTCATTTTGATCTTATTGATATCACTGTTTTTCTTTTTTTTTAATATTTTTATGACTCGATTTCAACATTTCAATTTTGTCTAATTCAGTTTGTTCACATTTTGAAACTCCTTCGATGTTTCCTGTTTCTGGATTTCGATTAACTTGAACATCATATTTTTTCTCAAAAGCAAATTCATTAATGAAAATTTGCGTATCTCGATTAACTCTATGTAAAAATCGTTGTTCAGTTTCCCCAGGCCTTTGTTGAAATATAGGAACAACTTTCTCTGGTCTAGCCTTTGGATGTAAAAGCTTAGATTCCTGTTTACCAATGGATATAAGATTATTTTTCTTCTTCTTCTTTTTTTTTATTTTACCTATTTTTCCCAATTTCACTGCTTCTTTTAACTTTATTATTTTTTCTAAACTTTTCGGTATAGCTTGTTCGTTCACATCTTTTGGCGGTGCATTTATCTTTGTTTCTAACCTATAATAGGCAGTTCACTAATCTACGTAAGTAATTCGAGAATAAAGCTTAGTTAATTCACAACTCACTCTGCCTGACGTTTTGCCTGTTGTTTAAAAGGATCTTTCACACCTCTGTGCTTTTTTCCTGGGATTTTTCGACCCATTTGTATTCGATAAACAACGAGACACGATTTTCACGTGGTCGACATTCGTCTACTCGAAAATGTAAATGACGCGCGATGATCTCTCATATTCAAAATATTGTTAAATAGTAATTTTTTAATCGTAAAATCAATATTTAAACAATTTTAAATATGAAATAAACACAAAATACAAATAATTAATTCATGTTATTAGCTTTAATATGTCTCCTGTATTATAACTATATCTTGTATATATATATATATATAAAAATTAAATTTAATTTTATTTCGAACTCAATGGATAATGTAAAATGATGAGAAGGTTCTAAAATTATCTACACATCTAATATAAAAAATATATTGGATTTTAAATCTATATCGTATATTGTTTATGATTGTAGTGACCAACGAGGTTAGGAAGTAGTTTTTCATATTTTACTAAACGTTTGAACCAATCATCTATAAATTCATTAATTCGTATATTTCATTAAAATACTTTATTATGTATTGTGAACGTTAATTATATAAATAACAATGATCCTATCACTTTATGTTTATTACGTATTTCTCATTCTTTCTTTAACCAGGTAAAACTACAAGGTGTAACAATAGTGATGAACCTAATTCAATTTTCTCGATTAATTATCAAAAATAAAAGAGTTAATTGTCAACAAATATATTTTAAAAAATCTGTCTATGGAACACCATCAACGTTATCATCCGAGGAAAAAGCTACTGAAAACAATGAAAATAACAATGTATCCTCGATAGATGATTTATCAGAACCTACGAATTGTTGTATGTCTGGATGTGCAAATTGTGTATGGATTCAATACGCAGAAAAATTAAGTGCTACTCTCAAAGAAAATGACGTAGATGTACAAAAATTAATCATGGACAAAATAGAAGATCCTAATATGAAAGCATTTCTTTCAATGGAACTTAAATTTAGAAATATCATTAAAGATTAGAAACGTTTTATATATAAAGCATATATGTATATATGTATATAATGTATATATGTAATATATAATACGTATATGTATAAAATGATGAAATTTTAGATAATAAATACTTATGTTAATTTAACTAACTGTAATCTCGTCTTCTTCTAGTTGTATTTTTTGAATCTCTTCCAATATTACATATATGCACTTGTATATTTATGTAGAATTGTTGAATCTTGAATTGCGAAAATCTTGTAATTTTAAAGTAACTTATAAAACTGTCTCCCGTATATATTATCAACTCGTTAATTTCTTATAATTCGAACAATTTCGTTAACGTTTTATAATTATTCACACTTTTTTTTTCACAAAAAACTTTGAATCGAATATTCTACCACCGAATTCTAATGTTTCGAAACTGAAAGTTCGTGTTGCGCCATCTGCAAGACTGTACGGCGTCTGTCCAGATGGCGACAGATGTACGAATGCTGTTTATATGAAAAATATTTATCCTCATAATTGCAACAAAAATAATGACTTTATCACGCTCTGAATCTCCATTCGAGAACTCGGGTCTTTTATTATTTATTCAACTCGTTCGGTTTATGAGATTCCAGAGCGTAGTAACCAGTTTCTGCATTAAGAGATAAAAGACATCTGATCATTTCGTTTGTACGACCGCTTGAAATTGTAAACCGAAATATAAGATGTTATTTTTACATTCTCATCAAATTTATATATCGAAAAAAAAATAAAAAAAGGCAATATAACGATGCCAATAAATTCGATGTCAATAAAATCGAATCACACAGTGTTAAAAAGGAAATAGCACGCAAAGAAATAATTTTGTCTTTTCGCCCAAATTGAATCTCCACTTAAAACGTTTCTATCACCTATGCCGCAATAGTGTTCTTTAACGGAAACTAATTAAAATAAGTTTGGATTTATCGGCAACGTGTTTTGGTACCGCGTGTCCCTCATCGTAGCAATAATCTAGTATTACGAGTATTTTTGCGCACCGTTTACATTACATACTCACTTATTTACATTGCATACATATGTATAAAGCCACTTGTGCCGCTTACGCCAGTCAGGAGAATGTAGTGTGACATGTACTGACGTGTTGGCGAACGAGGAGGCGTACATAGCACTCCTTTTTCTATTTCTGCCACTAGTGGTGTAGAAATTGACGAAAAAATTCAACAGAATTCATTTTCATTTTTTTCTATAATTCGATATTTTTTTTTCAATTTCTCTTTAACCTAGGCAAATAAATTAAGATTAAAAAAAAGGATTTTCGTTCAAAACGAAAATAGTATGGATTATTTGATTATATCACGATAAACGAATAATTACGCGATCGAGCAAAAAAGTTGCTCGTAACGAGAAAGAAAATTTTTTTCGAAAGAAAAATAAAGTTACCAATTTTATCGGATTGATTTCTTCGCTTAAATAACAACCGTTTACTACAAATCAACAAATTCCATCACGAGAGCGTACGTGTTGAACTACAAAGTCTCTTCTCGTAATAAACAAAATTCACAGATTTTCGCATATAAATCGTTCGTTTTCCCTACTCGTCAAACAAACGTCAATTCCAATCGCGTAGGAATTCATTTTCCACGATTCTCTCGCGTACTCGTTCATTTTCTATTCATTCGTATTAAAAATATCTACTCCGCAGAGATTGTAAAAATATTTTCCTACAACAATCCAATTGTTCTTGCCAATCCACGCAAGATTCTCTTCCATCCGATCGAACCTACAACAGCCATGCAGCTCGCTTCGAAGCCCGTGTATAATCGTGTTTTTCATCGAAAAAACGAAGGAAAAAAAAAAAAAAGACAATTACAATAAAAATCCACGTCGAAAACATTAGACCATAGCGAGCTGGCATAATCTTATCTCCGACTGTGCCCACATGTCAAGTCTTTCTACCGCCGCTATGCTCGTACACGGCTCTATTTCCATGCGACCCGCGTGTCAGTGTGACGCATTTTCCCACACGTACACGCGCAAATACATAGGCATAGGTTCGCCGTTTGATACACGCGCTCGTGCGTTCTTTTCCACACATTTATCCAACGTGCACAATACTCGTAAAGTATCCAACGAAATAGCGTTAAACACACGTTCGGCAAGTGTGGGTGTCCGAGCGCGAGCGCGCGCGTGTGCGTGGATTATTTTCGCTTATACCGCGGCGCACGCAATCTCAGAAGTGGTTCTCGCGTTGACAGGTTCCGAACGAGTTTTCGCCGGCCTCCGAAGCCACCGATCGGTCAGTGCTTCGACGCCTGGATCCAAGGATCCTCCTCGGGAATCCTCCCCGGGAATCGAAGGATCAATCGAAGGCAGGAGGAGGAGGTGGAGGAGGAGGAGGGCGAGGAGGAGAAAGAAAAGGAGGTCGTGATCGGATACGAGACCAATGTGACACGCGGACGAATTCTTATGCAACGTTTAAGGTGAACGTGGTGCACGGCCGACCGGCGCACGGGAAGAAGCTGTCGCGGGGGAATTATGAATGATCCTCGATGCGAGGATGGTGAAGATCCGTCGTACCTCGTGTATCCGGTTGCTGGAAATAGCGTGCAATCTGCGCTGCACGGAAACGCCGACAACTGGACAAATACGCTTGTTGTTCGCCTCTACATGCCCTCTACACCAACGTGTTGAGTCGTAACGAAGAGAAATCTGGGACCGGTTGTACGCGTAAGAGTATTATTCCTCCCAAGTGGAAAAATTGATTCGAATTGTATCTTCATTCTTCTTCTCTTCTCTCTCTTTCCGTCTCTCCACTTCTTCTCTCTCTTTCTCTCTTTCTTTGAATCACGTCATTGTTGTGCACACGTTGTGAACAGAGAGGAGGGGAATCAGGATATTATCGTGGTCATGATGGTCAACGGATGCGGAAAAGTGATAATGGATGACGGAATGAGACGAGAATAAACGATAGCATGAAGAACGATAGTAGGGATTGCACGAGAAATCGCACGATGCGTGAGCTTGGTGGCCGTGGAACTTCGGTGGACGGTTGTGAAACGGATTTTAAAGTTCGAAGAATTGGAAACGAAGGGACGTTCTTCTTATTTGGACGGAACGCGTAATTTTCTAACATTCCCTCCCTCCCTTCCTCCTCCCCCCCCCCGCGCTCACCCCTCCTTCCCAGAGTGTCCACAATGGTGCTATCTGATGACTCTCTCTCTCTCTCTCTCTCTCCTCCTGCT